AGACATAATAAATCAGTGATTATAGCCTAGAGGGAGCAATTAATTTTAAATATCTCAAAACTGGAACACGTACTTAAGAAATGTTTGTAGCCGTGACATGTTTAAAGTATCACCTAGATGAAGTAATGTGCATACCTGCCAATTTCTATCAGTTGGACCACTGTTCCCGTGCGAAGCCATTGCTGACCTATCTACCTCCATTTCTCCAAGAACCAAGAAATACAGAGACTCCTGAAGTTAGTCTTTAAAAATATATTCCAATAAGAAAAGAAAACAGAAGCTAAGTAAGGATAACTTGGGAGAAAATTATAAAGTAAAAAAAAAAAAAAAAATTAGCTCTAATACCACAACCCAGAGAGAGAAGAAATATCAGGACATTAGAGTTTTTTTCTTTCCTATCTCTTTTCTCTCTATATGTAGATTATAATATATGTCTCGACCTAATACTTTCTCTGAATAGAGTTTTAATTCTTCCCATGTGCATTTTTAAAAGTTAGGGTAGGGGATAATTTTAGATTTACAAAAGAGTTGCAAAGTAAAAATGAAGCATTTCAGATAGTCTTCACCTAGCTTTCCCTAAAACATAACCATGTATATTTACTTATCAAATCTAAGAAGTTGACACTGGTAAAGACTATTAATTAGACTAAAGACTACTTGTAGTTCCAAGTTTTCCACTCAAGTCCTTTTTGTCGTTGTTGTTCCAGGATCTGACCCAAGACACCAGTTGCATTTAGGTTCCGGTGCACTTTTAATACATTAATTACACATGAACTTTTCATACATGCACTTCCTACCTTAAATAGAGCCCTTACCACGTCAACTATATGTATCCTGCTATAAGAAGCTTTCAGTCTGGCTCCTACATCCAACTTTCTTTGCCATCTTTCGACGTGTTGCTTTTAAACATTGCCATGCTGCTCAGAAATCATCAACTTTGCTCTAAGATAGAACCAAAACGTCTTTGAAGAACGTCAGAGACTCTCCATATTCTAGTCCCAACCTGCACACTCTCTTCCCTCAGGTGAACTAGCCTGGGCACTGCCCTTCGCCTCCAACATCCTTATGCTTTCTGCTTCCATAATTTGACTTACATTACTTACATTACCAGGGCATTGTTTATATTATTTTTATAGTCTATGATTTTCCCTTGCTCATGAAGCCTTATCTGCCCACCCCAGCTACCAGAGAGCTCTTCTTCCTCTCGCTGTCTGGAAAATTCCCCTGGCATTGTTTATCATTTCGTGTCTCTATCCTAGTTCCCCAACCAGACAAACGTCTTTGGAGAACTGTCTTGTCTGCAGGGTGGCATCTGTACAATGTATTGCACAGTTTAGTTTAATAAACACGTACTGAAAAACTTCAATTCCAATGATGATAAAAATCATGGTGACTTCCCATTTCCAGTCCAATACGTAAGGAGCTTGGAAGTCATTGCTCCCTTCCTAACACCAGAAAGCTAAACAAGAAAATTAACAACTCTTCCTAGACCAGTCATAGAATTGAGGTCACAGGGAAAATGACTGCCACCAAAATTAGAGAGACAGAAAATTAGAGACAGTGAATTACAACACGCCGGAGCAGACACCCCTGCAGGAACGGAGGTAGTACCAGCGTAGGAAGAACCTGGACTGTAACCGATGAATTGCTGGACGATCCAAGTGGACGAGTGTGAGTCACAAATAATGGCTCACACTCATCTGCCCTTGCCGTGTCCCAGGAGCTGTTCTAAGCATGTTGAAACTACCAGAGCACAACAGCCTTATGAGGAACCTATTCTACAGAGAGGCAAACTGAGGCTCGGGGCAGTGCAGCAAATTGCTGGAACGTCACTTGACTATTGAATATCAGAGCCAAGAATTAAATCCAGGTGAACTGGCTCCAGAGCCTTCGTTCTTAATGATTACACTCTATTTGCATTATACCAGCTACCAATGGCCACTCAGGCAAGGTCACACTGGCCAGTCATGGGTCAGGTGACAGGTGGACACGGAGAAAACCTGAGGCAGCAGGCCCTGTCTACTCTCCACAAGTAACACTCATTCGCTCTCCCCACTGGGAATTGTCCCTCCCCGTGACCCTCACGCGAGCCTGTCCGCATCTTCCCGCCTTCCCTGTGCCCTCATTAAGAAGGCAGATTCTCCTTCATGCTGCCGTAATTCTAAAGGCCACCATAAAGTGTCTCTCCGTCCAAATGCCTTCTAATTTCATTCTTTAAGGCTCATCGTGCTCTGTGCTCAGGACTATATCCCTCCCAGGACAACTGTAGCCTAGAATATTGTGATGGGCCATGAATATGCATTCTCCGAGTAAGGTGTATTGCTAGTAATTAAACAGTATTAATTCTATCAGCTTTGATTTATCTGCCCTCTCAGTAATGAAGCTCGGTCTTTTATTTTCTTTCTGCTCGGCGCTGAGCAATAGAATTGGTGTTTAAGGATTATCATATAAATCTACTTTTTGGTCAGTCAGTGTTGGGGAAGTTTTTCAATATATTACAAGTGTATTCATCATTCCCTTGTTCATAAAAATAATTAAAAGCTGCGGGCCGAACACAAACTCCCGGAGCACAGAAGCCTGACTGGTGCTCTACTGCCCAACACCAAGGTTGCCAGCGCCTTGGTTTATGGGTTTCTTAATGAGAACTCAAGCCTCCTCGTGCAATAAAGGGCTTAGGTGGACGCTTTCTGGTGGTGTTTGTAGGAATTATGAAACTAAAGCCCTACACATCAAAAAGAAAACGGCTACTGTCATCTTCCGCATGTTTTTAGTAATTTAGAAATAACTTGCCCTAAAATAAAAGCTATTAAAAGTTATTTAAAAGTGATTCCCAGGATGTTCATAAAATGTATTCATGTTCCCTTAAAAAAAAAAAAAAAAAAAAGGAAGGTAGAGAGAAATACAAAGAGCTCCAATCCATCACTGTGATACCCAAGTTTCTCCATAGATAAAACAGACATAAAACATGTGTTTTACAAGCCTCAGATGACCTTCAAGGCACCTAAGTACAGTATCTATGGACTTTTAAGCATAATTAACAACTCCTGTTTTTCCATTTAAGGAATCCAAGTTCCGTTTCCTTGACAGGCAAAAGCCAATCAATCTCGTTTTCAAATGTTAATACAGGCAATTAAAAGTAGCATTAATTAAAATACTATAGGGGTCCTTAGGTTTGGGGCTGGTGGGTGTTTTTTTTTTCCTTCAGCTTAACCTCATGGCAATTTTAATTTACAGGACTAATTAGGGAATCACCCTGAGTCTGGTCCACCCCTGGGATGCACAGCTGGCCTTTACCACCCAGCCCAGAGCTCAGGAGGCCCAGCGCCACGAGGAAGCCTGGAGCCGCAGCCATCCTGTTTGTGATTTCACCTGGCGGACCCAATGTGACAGGTTCCTTTATTTACAGCGTGGATACGACTTTAGCGGGTTTGGTAACCAAAATGCAGTGTTCATTTGTATTGTTGTAAAACTTGTAAATATGCCCTGTAGGATGAGTAATATTCAAAGCAACATCCTAATTAAAAGGAAAACTTGGTTGTCTTGCAAGATAATATAAGAGGGCACATAAATTGTAAATAAGATCCATGGTAAAAATGAAAAAGACAGGCGGGATAGGAAAAGAATGAAATAAGATTTGGAAATGTGCTTTTTAAATGAACACAAATTGTGAGATAATGTCTCATTGAACAATAAAAATAACAAACCAGTGGCAAAGATGTAATAGAATTTCCTATGGATACCATTTTAATCTTCATATAATTTTCCCCAGTGCATCCACGTTTATTGAACTACTACAGCCATTTCTTTCTCTCTCTGTCCAAAGTTACCGAGAGTGTTCTTTGCTGTAAATAATCTCCCGATTATGAACATGAAAACGATCCAGAAATTGACCACAGTTTTTTTTAAAAATGACATAGCGTCTGCTGAGGGCCAAAAGCCTTACGAGAACTGCAAACTAAGTGCAGTTTCTTCAAGCACGCAGACTGAGGCTACCCACCTCCTCCTGCAAAAGGCAGCTCCACACTTTGCTTCTTTTTTCTCTCTATTCAAAAAATGCAGAGACTTCCAAGGAACTGCAGCCCATGGTGTGCTGATTGGAGAACAGAGCTGATGCCAAAGAAGTGCTGGGTCCAGGACACATGTGCTAATGTGACCTCAGGAAGATGCACAGCAGTGAGACCTCAGATTTTCAGTCTGCAAAATGGGGCAATAATACTTACCTCTTAGTTTCGAGCCTGATATCCAAATGAATGTTTGGTAAATACTACTTAAATAAGGATGTGCGAGGCCAAATTCCACATACGTGACAGGTTTGCTGGAGTGGAGACATGGAGTCCAGAGGGAGCCCTACTTTAATTACTGAAGAGGCCCAACTGCATTCACCCCCATACACATCTCAGACATTTCAACCACCAGCGCAGTGACTCATTCCCTCCTCTGCCTACACCCCTGGTCAATTGGCTAATGCATGTGTTCAGGGGTGTCATTAATGTTTCTTTGGATCTTAAATTTTTTTAAAAATAACCGAAAGTAGAGACCATGCCCTGCTAATTATTTTGTTCTTCATTTGGGGCCACCCTAGAGTAGGAATTGAGTTTCTTTCTGTGGTTCATAGCCTAATCTGATTTATTATTTGCAGAAGTTCATCAGGCAAGAGGAAAATGTACTTGCTCATGTAGAGATAAAATACACGCCGAACACCTCGATGCATCCATTTTATTAAATAGGTTATCAATTAATCCCTTTGGTGAGTAGAATGCATAACTACATAATGTGATGAACTTTTAATTTTTATTTTTCTACATTAGATTAAATAGTAGGAAAATTATGTACCTGATAGAAAACAATAGTTTATGTAACCAGAAAAAAATAGGCCTGTAAGCAAGTATTCTTTTTTTTTTTTTTTTAATATATCTTTATAGATTTCAGAGAGAGGAAAGGAGAGGGAGAGAGAGAGAGAGAAGCAAGTAATCTTATAATAAGTGGTCTACTGTTAGAATTGCAAATCAAAAATAAATTTTGCATTATTTTTTCTAGAAAAATTTAAAGAATTTACATAGAAGTTCCTAAGTCTATCTGACTTCTTTATATAAAAATCAACTCCAGTGGTTTTCTATTCTATTTTAAAAATCCTCATTGATCCAAATGTACACAGAGGAAAGGACATCACTGACTACACCCCAGCCATCATATTCAGACTTCACAACCCAGGATCAGCTGGGAGGACCTGTTGATTACAGAGGCAACTTGAGGTTGTCTGAGGGACTCAAAGCAGAGGCCTCTTCTCCAGGTGATCCTGCCCAGCCATTTTTTCTATAGATGTCCCTCTAAGCCATTGTTTCGAATGACCTTGGCATACTCCTTGGCTGATGCGTAAGGAACTCTGGGTCTAGCTGGATCTTCAAAATCAACATGGAAGAAACCAAACCGAATGCTGTACCCCTGGTTCCACTCGAAGTTGTCCAGAAGAGACCATGCACAATATAATTGAAGATTGACTTTATCAAGTTGGATAGCTGGAATTTAAAAAAAAAAAAAAAGGAAAAGAAGGAAACAATTACCATTTCTGCGAGGGTTTGATGAGAGCACAGACAAAATCACTGATGACCAGTGTGGGCATCTTCCTCGTGCAGGAGGTCACAATGGAAACAGAACAGGCCTCTCCATCCCCTTTCCAATTTGCTGTTCTAATCGAGCGGAGACTTCATTGAAGAAGTGAAATTTCATGTTATTATAATTATCCGGTTACTTATTCATCTAGACACTTGTTTTATTTATTCATTCCTTTACTCAATACACATATTTTCAATGTCTACCATTTTTCAAACACAAAGAAAAACACACACACAAAGTTTCTTCCTAGTGCCTAGAATTATATTTGGTAAAGGCCCTGCCCAGCATTTAACTTCTGGATAATCCAGAAAGCCCACTGTTAAATGAAAGAGGTCATTAACAGCATGACTGAGGAAGCCCCAGCTTGTGTCCCCATGACCTTGTGTCCCCATGACTGAGTGGAGACATGTTTTATAATTCTGGAAATAGAACCTCCCAAATGAAAAGCATCAGCACACAGCACTGGCTATGCCATAGCCTAGACTGAGTAGGCACAAAAATGCTATGGCGTCTCCTTTGCCCCACCGTGGAACTCAGAGTGGTGCTTCAGCCCTCTAAGAGCCAAAGCAACGGACCCCCCTTTATATACATATGCACAAACACAACATTCTATATAATTTCATTCATGGATGCCCCAAAGCCCATCTTTGGACTCCATATTAAGATACCAACATGCGGAGAATTCTCTAAGTAGTCTTACACTGAGTCTATCACTTTAGTCACAGAACTGAGCTCGTTTTTATTAGTATTTTAAGTTTGGCCAAACTCTGAGGTTGTGTAGGTCTCTGCATTGAGTATTTTCTTTTTATAATGAAAATAATAAACTATATCTATAGGGTACACTCATATCCATTAATCAATTCAAAAACTAAATTTAAAAGGAAGGTTTACTTTATAAGGTAGACATATTCTACAATAAGTTGGGTAAAAATAAACATTCATAAAACAATTCACATTTTAACTGTATTGGGGATTACTTTCAACCAAAGAGACTCTTCTAGCTTCAGGAAAGCAAGATCCACCCTCTATTTTTTTCTTTTGGTGTAAATCTGTATTTTTCAGGTCTTCTATAAGCATGACATCCATATGTAACTACACATGTGATGGTCTCCAAATCTTCTTGGAATTTTTTTTTACTGTGGATATTCCATAGACAAAAGGTTCCTGACAGGTTCACTGATGCATAACCCCTCTACCTTTGTGCACGGAGGCATGAAAAGTGCTTAACTTAGAAAGGGCCTCATGAGTGGCCTCGGGGCAGAAATGAAGCCAAGCTGGGTTGGCTCTTCTAACAGAAAGTATTGTTGGAAAATGAAATACATAACATGCAAGGGCATTGAGCTTTGCAGGAATTAAAGCATTTACAGGATATTCCTTCTAGTTGCCCACATCATCATGTGTGTCTCCTCCCCTATGTCACCACGATCTGTAAAATATCACTTTATAAAAATGCATTTAAAAAAAAACTAACAAGTTCTGGATGGTATATCTCTAAGAATTCAAGCAAGCAAAGGCAAATATCAGGCCAGAAAATGACAGCCTCCTTTGCCTGCCTTGTAATTCCATCTGGGGACATGTGAGGATCCGTGTATTTTCTTTCTCATTTGCAGAATTACTGCCCAACAAGCTCGCCTGCCAGGTATAAAGCCAGACAGTTTCTGAGAACATGCGCAGTCCCACTGATCATGTACAAAAGGACTGATTCATGTGCTAAACCAGGGGATACAAAAGGTGCCCTGCCTGCTTGGAAGGGAACAAAAAGGAAATCTCAACAATGTCATTGTTAACTGCCAGGAGTTCCACAGCAGGTACTAAACTGCCTGAGTGACACTGGTGGATGTGTCTGCGTTTCCATCGCAGGAACATTTAAGGAGAGAATTAGTTAGGGCTGAAGAGCTGGCCTGCTGGATTCCTTCGCACTGAGCCACCACTGGGAACAACTACAAAACCGGGCTGGAGCCTGCACGCCTCCCCTCGTCCAATCTCAAGGACAGAGAGAGACCATCGTCGCATTTCCTGTCACCATGATTTATGAGGGTGCAAGTCTTAGTGGGGAAAACACACTTCTGTGGGTTCGCTTTCTTCCTTTAGCCAGAGTTGGAGGCAAAGTCGACACAGACGTACAGGAGCTACTGAGGGTAGAAGCACACGGATGGAAGTGACGCTCCCCACAGTCAGAGTCGGTTTGGGACAGAAAGGCCAGTGGGAAGGGTCTCGCAGCGCGTTGACTATGAAGACGCAAAGAGAAAAGTTCCTAAGCCTGGCTCATATGTGATAGCCTTCGTCTGGCTGTCCTAATTCTAGGAACCCATGCCAGAGTTGCATTACACACACATGCACACACACATATATATACTGCCCAGAGTGAGCCAAATTGAAAAGGTCGAGGGCACAGTCCTCCAGGAGGCTGCCCTAATTTCTGACACCAAATGCAACCTCAAAGGGTTCCCTAAGCCACTCTCAGTTTCCATAATTTGCTAGAAGGAGCCACAGAACTCAGTGCAACCCATTATTCTCACAGTTATGGTTTATTTCAGGAAAGGTACAGATTAACATCAGCCAGAGGGAGGCACACAGGGCAGTGTCTGAGGGGTTCCAAACACAAAGCTTCCATTGTCTTCTTCCCAGGAGTCAGGAGACGTTACCCTCCTGGTATGGACATGTGATAAGACCCAGAGTATTACTAACCAGGGAAGCTCACCTGAGCTTCAGTGTCCAGAGTTTATAGAGGCTTCATTACATTGTCATGATTGCCAAGGTGAATGAATTCAATCCCCAGATTAAGTGACACTGTGTTACCCAAAGCCCCCACCCTCAATCACATGACTGGTCTTTCTAGCGTGACCAGCTCCCACCCTAACAAGGACATTCTGTCAGGCATGACATAGATTTCTTCCCAGAAGCTGAGGGCAAAGGCCAATCTGTTCTCTGGGCAAGACCAAATTTTTAACTACACACACACACACACACACACACACAACCTATTTTAGAAGCTTTTGTTTCATGGTACTGGGCAGAATCTTCTTAGGTCATTGGCCTGTAAAGTGCGGTGACCATGTCTGTGTTTGCCACATTACAAAAGGTTCAAAAAAGAATGGGCATTTGGCCTCAATCGGATTTATATTCTCCAGGTTCAAGCAGAGATAGCCTTGTTTTCAAGATGCCTGGGGCTTATAGAAGATATCCAAGAATGTGGCAAAACTATGAAGCTATCAAAGAAACCGCTAATCCACAGACCCAAGCTGCCACGACGAGAACCAGTGGAGAGGTGCAGGACCATGCAAAAGGCAGCAGACCTCACAGGAGAAAAATGAGCGAGATAACGCCCCAGGAATGAGTGAGAAGAAAAAATATAGCCTCTGTATTTCTGTGTTTAGGTAATGGCAGGCTGCATGATTCGAGCAAACCTCTCTAATGAAAACAAGTAAACATGGTATAGAAAATTTTAAAGACAAATCTTCAAAACAATGGAAAGCTGCCAGTTTAGTGGGGAATTACCAAGGCAAAGCAGAAAGCGGACATTGAGATTGGTAGACCTGGCAGCTACTTTTGCTGATGGAATTTTCCAATCTTTGGAAATCAGAACTTTTTCTAGTTTCTAGGGTGAGGACAGGTGTCAAATCACAGAGCCACACCATGTCAAAAGTCTAGGATGAGACCCCACACAGAGAAAACTCAGATCCCCAAGGACTCAGCTATCAGAAGGGTGGGCCAGAAGCAGAGCGGTCACTGGAAACTCTCCAGGCAGCCGGTGACTCAGAGGCCATCAAGCCTGGATTTGGGGTTGAGTGATCCTAGGTTGGTAGTATCCCAAGTGTCTGGAAGATGTATATTTAGTTTTTTACTGAAGGAATATACCTATATTCTAAACCTCCAATTGTTATTACAAATATTTTAAGTGTAATTATCAGCATATAATCAAACATAACCAGACAGACATGGAAAGACGACATTCAAAGAAATCACCAGAATTAACAGAAACCCACAAAAATCTCAATTAGAACTGTCAGAAAGACTATAAAGTAACCATGTTAACTATATTTAAATTATAGAGTCCAACTTAAGACACCTTGAAGGTTAAAGAAGATTAAAAATGATGCGGCAGATTTGGAGGAGCGCCATCTACATGTTTGGCTTTGAATCCCAGGAGTGTGGTTATATAGCTGAAAGGGACCTCTTGTTTCTCTCATGCTGTGAGGATGAAACCTGAGAGCATGGACCCCAGCACAAGACCTCGCCCATGGCAGGCTTCCGCTGCTTTCCTCTCTGTCACCTCTTAGGAGAATGCAAAATCCAAAGGGAGATAAGTTCTGATGTGTCCTCTCTCCCAACCCAAACATCCTGATCATGTAGAAATTGATTTTACATGAAAATCTCGAACTGTCTAAAAGGGAGAAAGGAGTCACCAGGACAACATTCAGTCTGAGAAAGGTGAGTTTGAGGATGAAGGGACAGGTATAAACAGACTACAGAAATCTGAAAACAGGGCTCTTTACATCAGTTGACAGGTTCCTTTCTTTTCTCCAGAGTGACATCTCCAAGTCATGGCCTGGCTTCCTGCCTCTCTGAGTCCTGAGGAGCAGTCCTGAGACCCCCTAAAGCACTGAGTTTCCGGTGTTCAAATTCTCAGACCTGTGTGATGTTAGCTGAGCAGATGCATCCTGAGGATTAGTTCTTGAACAGCAAATCCTGTCCCAGATGTGGAAAACTAGTAGAGGGGGTGTTAATCAAGATCCTTAAGTAGTATGTATCTAAATCAATGTCATAACCAGTCCAAAAGACAGGATTCAAAACAACCTCAGATACAAAGTCATTGAGACAGAAAGGAAACATCTCAGGCAAAGACACAGGAGTGCAAGAGAGGTCTTGGGGAGTGACTGCAAAGGGTCATGGAGTACCTTCT